GACGCAGATAAGACCAACACAGAGCAACAGAACATTTGCCCAGCTTCTCAGAATCCTGGGGTTTCCCTTCAGGCAGCCCTCCTCTTCAAGCTAGGGTTAAGTTCAGGTTTATTTAACTGAATACCAAAAAAGCAGAGGCTTAAACACATGAGGTTTCTTGCACATCCAAGACAGGCACCCTTTATCATTCGGCTTCCCTAGTTGCAAGGTTTCCTCATAGTCCAAAATGACTGTCAGACTCCCAGCATCATGCCTGCATTCCAGGAAGCAGAAAGGAATAAGAAAAAGCAAAATGGGTACTTTTTTTCCAATGGACTCAGTTTCCTTTAAGCAATCTTTTTGGAAAACCCATTGAACACTTCTGCCCACATCTCATTGGTCACGTCTAGCAAGGGAAGCCAGTTTGAAACGTCCTCTATAGTCTTTTGTCTGGGCACGCTGCAGCCCAGAATAAAATCAGGACTCTCTTTTACTAGGAAATGAGAATGGAAATCGAGCAGCAACTGCAATTGCTACGCAAACACATTTCAATGAACAGAACAGCAAAACAACAAAATATGGCAACCAAGTAGTTTATTTGCTATTCTGGACTAACCCAGGTCAGAAGGTGAGCCAAAAGTTCTGCAGCATCAAATATCTCTTGATAAAAAGGGTACAAATCAAATTTTTTATACAAAATGAGAATTCTTTCCTTGTGACTTCACTCTTGGCCTGAAGGAAAATGTCCCCCAAGTGGAGCATTGTAATTATATTTGGCTCTCCTCTTACCATTTTCTTAATTCATTGCTAGTTTTCTTAGCATAATTCCACTTATCATAAGGAGGGAGTCCTGGGATCTGTGCAATCAGAAGTAAAGTATCTATAAATCAGCTTTGATAATCTTTTCTAAAGATGAGCTAGAAATTCAGATTTAAAAAAAAAAACTGAAATCCAAATTTTTAAGAAATATGAAAGCTAATTTACATTTTTAAAAGCAGCATGTAGGCCAGACATGGCGACACATTGCCTATAATCCCAGCGGCTCCAGAGGCTGAGGCAGGAGGATCACGAGTTCAAAGCCAGCCTCAGCAAAAGCATAGTGCTAAACAACTCCGTGAGACCCTGTCTCTAAATAAAATACAAAATAGGGCTGGGGATGTGGCTCAGTTTTCGAATGCCCCTGAGTTCAATCTCTAATACCAAAAAAAAAAAAAAAAAAAAACAGCGGGTGGGCCTCTATTGGACCAAGACTCAGACTCTACTTGGCTAAGTTTCCACTGCACTCTTGGCCGTTCTCCTCTTGCTATCATACGGAGGCAATTCTTTTCACAGAAAATCCTTCTGACCTTTTCTCCCTGTTCTTCCTCCCTTTTCTTTTTTTCACCTCCTTTTCTTTCTTTCTCCTTCTTTTGTTTTTTCTTTCATTTGACTTCACCAAGATGACGGATCTTCCTTCTGACTTTGACACCCTTTCCCCCCTTACAGATTTCTCTTAAAAATCCCCTCTGATTAATGCTCTCCTTTCAACATCAGGTTTTAATATCCAAATATGGATTCTGTTCCAGAGTCACTCCTACATTCTAAACTCTAAGAGTCTTCCCTTGACTCTTAGGAAGCTCTGAGCTACAGAAAATGTACAAAAGTAACTATTTTGCCTTCTTAAATCTGCAACAAGAGGCTACAAGCTGAATGTCATCAGCGGTTGGTCACACAGTGTTCCTGACAACTGGCAACCATAGTGACAATTGGCATATCGTCGGTGTTAAAGAGAAAGTTGTAAATAGTGGGCATCATGACACATAAAGGAGCCTATTCTCTATCTAAGCCAGAATAATTGCTACCAACTCACTTGAAGTCTTTATTTTTTTTTTAAGATAACCTGGAAATTCAGATTGTTTTCTTAAGAGAGAAATAAGCCTGAATTTTCATATAATACATGAGTGGTGATTCACCTTTATAAAAACAATGGAAGCCTTATATTTGCAAACTTGAACCTATCACACGTACTAACTTATTCCCTAATTGATTGGTGCCTTATCACAGCACCTAGAAGAATGCTAAGCATGTCACAACTAGAAGTTGACTGATGAATGCTGTGGCCAATGGACTTATGCATGCTCTTCTCTTAGGGGGAAATTTCTGGACTATTTCAGAGTTTGGGTAAAGTCAAGAACTAATACCTTGTCTCTGAAGAAGGTAAGGGAGATCCAATCTTTTTTTTTCCTAATCAATTAAAACTCTATGGTTTCATAATTAATTTGCTATTATGAAAAATTAGCCTCAGTATACTTCAAGCGAACTTCAGTGACTTGATGTGCTTGACTGACTTTAAGTCACTCATCAGTTGCCAATGAAACTGCATTTCACCAGTCCAAATCTTGCCTGCCACCAGAATGGCCAGACTCACTCATTCTTTTCCTGTGAAAAATGCTACTGAATGTGTCATGAATCAAATTGTATGCTTAATCTCCGTAAGAGAGTGAGAATATAGGAAAAAAGAATATGGAATTTGGAGGCAAACAAGCCTGAGTTCAAATCCCAGCTATGCCACTTTCTGGTTGTATGTTCTTGAGTGAATAATCAACTTGTCAGGATTTCATTTTCCTCTCTTATAAAATGAGATAATAAACCTCAGCTCACAAATTGTTATGAAGAGTAAATGGATTATATTAAGTGCCTGGCAAACTTTCAGCTGACAGTGGAAGAGACTAAATATTAGTAGCAATTCCCTTGCTTGCTTAGTGTATGTCTCGGTTCAGCATGTGGTTCTTCTTTTTAGCTATAAAGTGGACTGACTCATATTTACCAAGTATTCACAGATTTTTTAAGTCCTCACACAGCACTTAGAAGAAAATGTGCAAGGTCTCAATGAAAAAAGTGGGTAAATGGGCAAACTTAAGTAATGGAAACAATTAGATAACTCACAGGTTAGTTCATTTCCCAGCCATTAAACAACCCAAGGTTTCCCCATTTAAAAAAAAAATTATAATAATACACATACCTAGAAGTTTTCTGAAGTACAGATTTTTAGCACCAAAAGAAATTTATACCACTAGTGGATAAAAATTTATATATATCTATATCTATCTCCATACACACATTTATACCACCGATAAATGATCGTTGCTCTTAAAAGAAAAAGTCAATTTTCCTCTCCTAAGTGGCACATATACCCATAGTTCAAAGCTTACTCCCATGATAGATGTCAAAGAGAATTTTGTTTTTTCCTTTATTCAAAATTCCTATACTGAACTTTTGCTATCAACCAAAACGGACTAATGGGGTCTGAACACAATTTCCAGACTAAAACAACGAAAACACAGAATAAAATGTAAGAAAAACTGTTACTAATACACTCCATGTCACGAGCCATCCATGGGCTGTGTGTGTGAGCTATGCACATTTGAGCATATGCGGGGACTGGTCTGGCGTTGCATGCTGATTGGGCTGTGAGACACAAATGTGCCCTTCCTCTCGCTCTGCCTGTGATCTCACAAAGCACCTGAGATGAGTGTGATTTGCCAAGATATCAATCAATCTGCTGATGTCTTATGAGACATCACAAAGGAAGACTCCAGCCTTTGAAATCCTATCCCTTGCTTTATTTGGGTGGAATATTCTATCAAATGTCTTCTCCCCAATAAATAGGGGGGGGGGGGGTTCTGGTATGGTCACTCTCTTGCTCTTTCCAGTGCTGCTCAGCATGGAGCCGACCCTTGAGGTCACCAAGTTGTACTACCCTTGTTCTTAGAAACTCATGTTCGTGTGCTGCGTGGTTTCTTCATCATTTTCTTAGTTATTGATACAGCCAGCTCCTTTGGACCCAGCTCATTCCACCAGCCTGGCCAGCTGGTGACAACTCCATATCAAACAAAGGACAGTGATTCCTGAGGGATGGGGGAAATGAGATGAGCTCTGTGATTGGTCCATCCTACTCCCTTGAAGACCTGTCTGGGCCAGCACAGTGGCACACACCTGTAATCCCAGTGGCTCAGGAGGCTAAAGCAGGAGGATCTCATGTTCAAAGCCAGCCTCAGCAACAATGAGGCACTAAGCAACTCAGTGAGACCCTGTCTCTAAATAAAATACAAAATAGAACTGGGGATGTGACTCGGTGGTCAAGTGACCCTGATTTCAATCCCTGGTACCAAAAAGAAAGAAAGAAATCCTATCTGGACCCTAGCAAAGCCCAGAAGACTCCTGAAGTTCTATAGAAAACATGGAGAGTCCAAGGATAGCAGGGTAGTTAGAACCTGAAGACAGAATATTTGAGAAGAGAGAGCATCAACAGAGAGGGGCAAAGTTCTTGGGTCCTCCTCAAGGTTCAATAGAATTCTGATTAGCACACAAGTGTAAGGAATCTATGTGAAGTCTAGAAAAGAGCTTCCTGAATGTTAAAAGGGAATAGTACACAAAACACACACAGGCCTGCAAATAACTCTTAGTCATCCTGCTTCTCTGGGTGCACCATCTAGTTGAACACACACACACACACGTAGAAAGGAATTTGTTACAGGGAGCTGCCCTGCGTAGTTGTGAGGACTGGATAAGCACCTTCTGGGGAGAAGCATCTCTGTGCCTGATGCATAGTCCACAAGGGAAGAAGTCAGTAAAGGAGACTCAGGAAGAAAAAATCAGAAGCAAGCTGGACCCCTGGAAGCATAAGCTGGACCCCTATAGGAAAGGCTCAAGCCTGCATCCTTTCTTGTTACCTCTGACCTTGGTGTGAGGGTATCCTGTAGAATCAGGGGCTCTTTTTTTCACGGAACTATCAACACATATCTAGCTCCCCAATTTTAAATAAATGAAGGAAAATTTAGGGAAGGTAAAGAAATTGCAGGTTCAGAGACAGCTTCATGCTCTTGAGGTGTGGTCAGCTACAAAAGTGCTTCTTTTCTTCCAAATTTGACAAGAATAGCCTTTGTGTACCACTTAAACTGGAAACATACAAGAAGGGAAATTCAGCTTAGCCAAGTGGATACATTGCAAAGACATTATGCACAGAGAGGAAAAAATGTAATGTGCTTTGTGGTAGCACATATACTAAAATCAGAATGATATAGAGAAGATCTGCATCCTGCACCAGGATGACACAAGAAGTGTAGGAGTAGGAAGAGAAGAAAGAGGAGGAGGGAAATAAGTGAACAGAGCATCAGCTGTGTACAACTCTAAGCAGTTTTAGTAAATTTGTAACTGGAGTCTTTTCAGTAGAGGAAAGATAGGATGGAAGAAACAGTATTGGAAGACATAATTAATATTTTTTCAGAATTTGGTGAAAATTATAACCCTAAAGATACAAGTTATTGAACTTAAAACACAAGAAAAATACCTACCAAGGCACAATATGATAATATCACTCAAAACTGGTGATAATGAGAAAATCTTAAAAGCAGCTAGAGAAAAAGATGTTACGTCAGGGAAGAAAGAAAACATATAACAGTAGATTTCTTGCTGGGAACAATGGGAGCTAGTCGAAAATGGAACAACATTTTTAAAGTTCTTTAAGAAAAATAAAAAGGAAAAGAAAACCTCGTCAACTTAGAATCTTATACCCAACAAAAACACTCAAAAATGAAGATGAAAAAAGATACTTTAGACAGACAACTAGAAGAATTGATCACCAACAGACCCATGTTACATGTTATCTGAAATGATGAGAAGTTCTTCAGGCTGAAGGAAAATAATGACAGAAGAAAATGTGGGCCCACACAAAGAAGTGAGGAGCACTAGAGGTAGTAATTATATGGATAAATATCCAAGACCTTTTTCTTATTATTTAAACCTTCTTAAAATATAATTGACTTTTTTTTTTTAAGCCAGACGCAATTGGTACATGTCTATAATTCCAGCAAGTTGGGAGTCTGAGGCAGGAAGATCGCAAGTTCAAAGCCAGCCGTAGCAATTTAGAGAGGCCATCAGCAACTTAGTGAGACTGTATCTCCAAATAAAAAATAAAATAAAAAGAGCTGGGGACATAGCTCAGAGGTAGAGCATCCCAAGGTTCCTGATATCTGGTAGATAGATAGAAGATAGATAGATAGATAGATAGATAGATAGATAGATGACTTTTTAAAGAAAATGAGATAGTACAAAAATAAAATGTATGATAAAATAACAAAGGTTGAAAGAGAAGAAATGGACTTTACATGGTTGTAAGGTTTTTCACTATATGTAAACTGGAATAAAATATATATTCTGAACATATTTTATGAACAGACCTTTTAGGCACTAGTCATAATGAGGAAAATAACCCCTCTGTCTCCTTTTGGAATTTATCTCCTCCTATTCTCTCTCAGGAAGCCTAATCTAGTTGTTGTTGTTGTTGAGCCAAAAAACTGTGGAGTAAGACGTCACTTTTAAAGTGATCCTTTAACTGCTTCAGTTCTACACTATCAATGCATTATGGAGCAAATGATGGGAGTTTTAACATTTTTTGAATGTGAAAGAAATATGTGCCTGTCTATGGGGCAGATTGCTACAGTATTCCATTAGAGTTATTTCTGTGGTCAAAAGAAAGGAGTGAAGATTCTGCCTCCACATCAATTGAGATTACAGTCAAGACTTAATCCAAAAATCCCAGGTTCATTTATAATAAATCCTACAATTAATAATAGTCAAACACTTTTCCTAAACTTATTTCAAAAAGAAAGATTGTATTTACTTTTATTTAACAGATGTGATTCCAAGAACATTTATTGCCGCAGTCTGGCTGGGCACAAAATCACGAGCCACTCAAGCAGGAACAAAGTTTATTTTTTGAAACTGCCGCCAATGTCCGGTACGCGCCCGGGAAGATTTTTTCCACCCACGCAGCCTCCTCCCGGACCCGCAGAGAGAGCTCCTCCCCCGGAACTCCCTCCTACTGTACTTCCCCAACCAATGGGAACTCTCCAGGAGTCCCATAGCCGGCCTAGGTGAACAGCAGGAGTCCAATATCCATATGAATGCAAATCTTAACATAATCATATCATCTCAATGGCTAGCTGGCGTCACCTTTAGACTAAAAATGCCATGCATCATATACTTGGCTCTTAGCAATTTATTTTTTAAATGAGGAGTTGCATAAACTGCCCAGAACAGAGCTCACAATGTCAAAGTCAGATCTAATTGAATCACACACAAATCAACCATTAGAGGGGGAAAACATGCTGTCCTGAGCATAGGGATTAGAAGGGAGTGGCAATGGGTGGGACATTTCACCTCAGACAAATTACACTGTGCATACTTATCATTTCCTACATTGGGAGTCTATATAAATTGGGGGGCAGAAAAATGTTTTTTTTTTTTTATTTTGTATCTATTTCTCCTGAACTGTTGCAATATAATCAGTTGCATAAATTGACTGCCACCATTCCAAGAAAAACTCTATCAGAAAGAACCAAAGTGAGCAGCTATGATGAAATTTCGCAAGAGCACAGGATCACAGGAAATGAAGAGAAATATCATATATATTGTGTAGGAGAATGTGTAATGCTCTATTAACTGCCTCAACCTCATAACAGAGTCATTTCCAAGCATTCTCATCACAGAAACTCCCGGAAAAAGACTTTGAACAAATAATGCTTCATCTCCGGTGCCAGGCTCTGTCTAAGTGCTTTTGATACATTTTTCTGGTGCAATCATTACAGAACTCTATGCGGTAGGAATTATCATGTCCTTGTCACAGCAAACTGTGACTTAGAAACATCAAGGTCTCACAGCTACTAATGGCTGGACAAGGATATGATGCCAAATCTAACTCTTAAGCCCAGACCCTTAAATTCTACACTATAAATAAGCCACTGGATATAGGTATACTCAAACCATACACATGATAATAAGCCACCAGTCCCCCAGAAGTCCACAAGGGAGATAACTTCTCAAGGGTCGGTGGCCAAGGAAAGAAAAATACCACTCTTGTAAGCCAAGCTTGTGACTGAAAGCTCTATGTACTAGGAAAGCTGAGCAGCAACTCAAAGTCGAGGACTGGCAGCCTCTGGGGACACATCCCTCCCCTAACCTCAACTTAACTCACAGGACCAGTCGGCTCTATGGGAGGCAGGGCAAGGAAGAGACAAGAGAGCTCAAGGATAGAGGAGAGATCAAAGAGAGAAGGATGAGGGCTAGGTCAGCTCCCTTGAACTTCCAGATGTTTGAGAAAAAAGAGATAAAAGTGAGATGCATTTGTAAACACTGCCTGTCCAGATACAATAGCCTTGTCCACTAGTAAACATGACCACTCTAGTGTTCTAGAAGCTCCCAACTTGTATTAGCAACTCTGTCACACACACAAAAAAAGGAGGGTAGGCAGTTGTTGGGACAGGCAATCCATGATAGGCCCTGAGAGTACCTGCAGGTTCTGGGTTTGGCAGGAATTCAAGGCTTGACCACTTTATATCTTGATCATTTTGGTCACACCGGTTATGGGGGATGAGTTCTGCTCCCTCACATGTTGAAGTCTGAACATTAGAGAAGCACACTGAGGCGAGCATATAAACCAGGGTTTATTTAAAAAGGGGTAACATCGACTTCTCCTCCCAGGAGAGAGAAGGGGCCATAGCTAGGATCCTGGTATCCTGAGTAGCAAGGGAGTTCTGCCTTTTTGTAGAACACCCTTAGGCTTCCTTTTTGCCATGAGTAATAAAGTCTTGTGTCTCTAACCCAGGAGTGTCATGTCTTCAATCACCATCATTTGTTCTCCAGCTCTCTTCCCCTTATCTCTCTCCTTCCTGCGGTATATGACTGCTCAGTGGGATGGCCAAAAGGTGGGAAACAGGTGTGCTGAAAGGGGAAGGGCAGGAGCAGCTCAGGACACATTAATTAACAACCTTAGAGCTCCCTGTAGGGAGGGGAAATTCCTGCGACAGTTTACCTTAGCAACAGGTTAGAGCAGGGGCAGGTTCTTGATAAGGGTGGAGGAAGGGCTCCGAAGAAATTTCAGTCCCTCTGCGGGCAGTCTCCAACTTCCTGGAATCACTCAAAACTGGCCTCCTTCATCAACCTGACTCAATTTACCTATCTATATGGACTGCCTGTCTAATTCTGGCTTTAGTTTCTCAGGGAGCAGTGTTTGCAGGGAGCAGTCTGGCTGGATGAGATATGATCTCCCTCTAGACAAGCTTGTTACTGCTCACAAAATATTCCAAAAGCACTGTGTTTCTCTCCTGCAATGCAATCCACAGCCTTTGTAAACAGCCGTCTAGTTCCACGTGTGTTATAACATGGGAGTTGGGGACATGGGAAAACAGCACAAACACTAATCTCTGGCTACTGCTTTTGCCATGAGTAATAAAGTCTTTTGTCTGTAACCCAGGAGTGTCATGTCTTCTATCATCATCCATGGAAGACTAATTTGGTAGCTTGCAAGTAGGGTAAAATCTTAAACCCTTCACAGTTCATGACAGCAGAAAGGGAGAATGAAGAAGAAATTTGAATGCGCCCCTGCTCCTTTCTTGAGACCAGAAGTTGAATGACATGACCATATGTCAACATTCCCTTCTGTTTAAGTTGACTATTGGAGAGTGATTACTGCAGGGAAATGCCCTCAGATTTCTTGAGTTAGCGCCAATAAGTCTTCAACCTCCCAGATCCCCGAAATGTTCTTATTCAATTTGATTCATGATTGCACATTGGCTTGTTTTAACTCTCCATTGAGATTCACAAGATCTCTGAAAATAAGAAAAAATATTGACTCTTTAACACATGCATAAATTTTGTTTCTGTACAACATAACACTCTGCCGATACTACACATATAATATGCTAATCATCAACATGTTCCTCCTTGCTATGGTTTGAATGTGTCCCCTAGAAATATATGTCTTGGAATCTTTATCCCCATTGCAACAGCACTGAGGTGCAGGGCCTAATGGGGGGTGCTTGGGTCATGAGGGGTCTATCCTCATGACTAGATTAATGCTGTTAAAAATCAGCAAGTTTGGCCCTCTTTTGCTTCTTGGCCCTTCTGCCTTTGCCATGTAAGAATGAAGAGTTTTTGCCTCTCTGAAGGATGCAGCATTCAAGGCACCATCTTGGAATCTGAATTTCTAAACCCACCAGCTCCTTGACTTGGACTTCCAGCCTCCAGAACTGTGAACCATTAAATTGATTCTTCATAAATTATCTGGTCTCAGGTAATCTGTTAT